GACCACCTCACCAAAGAGAGTATCCAGTGGTAATAATGAAATGGCTCTATTTTTATGAAATCAAATATGTCTGTAATCTCCATCTCTGATATTCAAATATATTTGCGATGAATGCATTAGCCCTTTTGAATAATGATCTATTCATCAACCATAACCAAAAATGGCAACTTAGATCTCCGCATATCAGCCTGAATATGTATTTTATTCGCCCGTGCCTAAGCTTGTTAGTGTTTAGATAATTAATTAATTGTGTCCACCCACATAATCCAAAAAGCTCAAACCAAAAACCATTGAGTTTAAACGTTTGTGACAGATCATTACCTTGTCTGCAAAGACGCATCCTAAACCCCTAAATATCGGTGCCTTCATTCTCTTTAGTGTTCTCTCAATTCATGCATTTAAACCTATTACTATATTCGATAAACTTGTAACTAATGTAATTTTTACTTATTGATATGGGTGAAAAATAGATATGGTTCTCATTGATAGTGAACCATTATAAGTCGTACGTAGGGGCGGAGTTATGTTTAAGGTAAGGGGGGTCACATAACCTCGTTAATAAAAAATAATTAGCCAATTTATTTAATATATATTAAATTCTCTCATTGATAGTGATAATGAACCATTATATGTCGTACACAGGGGCAGAGCTACGTTCAAGGTAAGTGGGTCACATGGCCTCGTTAATAAAAAAGAATTTAGCTCATTTGTATTATCTTTATTAAATTCTGGTAGATTATTTTGTGTACATTACCTTCTTTGATCCTTCATCCCACTAACTCATTTACTGGTTGTCGCATCGGATTTCGTACTGAAACGAAATCCTAGTCCGTAGAGATAAATAAAATTCGAGATAAGGAAGAAAAATCCGGCAACACAAATGTGGCAACATGGAAATAAGGCTAACTTGCTGCATCTGAGTAAGGAGTCCTAACCCTACAACCTGGCATGTCACAAACCAACTCGCGAAAGCGTCAGATTCAGAAACTCGACAACTTGACAACGTGGCCCAACTCGCGGTATCTGAGATAGACATGCCCATTTAATTCATGTATATTGGGTTTGATGAGTTTCTTATACGGAGCCCTAAAAGCGGAATGGGTATTCGATAATGGGCCACGTAAAAGACAAGTCCACGAGTTGGAGAGATGGGTGATTGGAAAGATGTCGAGTTGGGAGCTGGATAGATATAGAGTTGGCATCCAAGTTCGGATAACATAACTTCTAAGTTAAAGAGAGTAAAAGTGAGCTAAATGAGAGTAAATCTATAGCGTGATTCACGCGTTTTGTAAAGTGTATATATACGAAAGAAATCTAGACTTTCTAGCAAGATATACGCAATAAACTTATTTTTTCTTACTTAGCTATTTTTACGTTACATTTGCATCTCGTGAACTAGCTTTTTTTATTAGCTTGTTATTCTGAGAAACTCGCTATTCCGGTGACGTGTTGATTTCTGATTGTCATCTCTCATCGTGGGATCTCGTTCCGATTACTCTTGGATCTCCGATTGTCATCTTTCAACGTGGGATCTCGTTTCCGATTACTCTTTGGTCTCTGATTATCAGCTCTCATCGTGTGATCTCGTTCCGACAATTATTTTATCTCTGATTAAAATCTCTCATCGTGTGATCTCATTCCGATTACACTTTTATCTCTGATTCCTTTTTTTTTGTGATTTGAATCATACCACATTCATAAATTTGTCGGGACAAATCATAATAAAAAAATTTGTACAGTGTACTAATCTAAATACATATACAAACAATAGATTATTGTTACAAATCCTCTGTATATTAATAGAGGAGACACTAGGTGAAAATCCTAGGTGTCATCCTAAGAGGGTTTTAAGAAATTCATTTCCTAATAAAAATTATTAAAATTATTAATAACAAATATATGGAAATAACGAATATGTGGTAATTAATATAGAGAATTTTATTTAAAAAATATAGAAAATATTTGAAAATAACTTATTTTCTTTTCAATAATACTAGATTTTTTTATCCAAGTCAAAAGTGGTATTAAAATATTTTAATACAAAAATTCATGATTATTTTTAATAGATGGGAGAAATAAAAAAATAAGAAAGATAAAATATATTTATGTTTGATCAAAATTTAGCTTTATTATATGTATRCACARTACATATCATTTTTGTGTGTTTATAAATRTTAGAAWAYAYKTCTAAATATTAAATTCGATTAAAAACATATTTAATTATTTAATCACACGTTTGGCATGGGTCAAAATCTAGTATAATAATTATATTAGAAAAACAGTTGTTATGGTATGTCTAAAATATTACATTTATTTGGGTTAAAATTTTTAATACATATATAATAAATTTATGTTAAAAGTTAATGAGAATATGTAGAGAATTTTCTATATGACATATACTTTAAATTGAAATGTTTTGATTGGTTAAATTTAAGTGATTTATCTTTTAAAACTCTTAATAAGTGAAACATATGATTTTTTCACCAAATGTCTCATTACTTAATATAAATAGAGAATTTGATTTTTATGGATTGGAATTTGGATCTACATCCAAACATATTAAAACTTGGTATCTACCTCTTATACCGTAAAATCATATTTTCGACCGTAAAATCATATCTTTTTTAAACGTTATTTAGTTTTTACAGTGTAAATTTTTTATGCCAAATTAGATACGATCAAAACTTTGGTGTTAATTAATGACACCAACAAAAATTTCTGTAGTTTTACGCTGGGTTTCAAAATATACAAACTTGGATCATCATATTTGACTGAACTAACCTGTTGGAGTTTTTTTTGAACTGGAAATTTGATTTATGATTGTATGTTTGGGGGCTTAGTTATATTTCTTTCGTCACTAATATAACATCGAATCTTTTAGAGGATGCTTATGCGATTGTAAAGCTTTCTAATCTCAAAGTTTTTGAAGTCGATCCTACTAAATCTAAATATGAGCTATTTTGTTATTGAAATATGAAGATCGTTTTAGCTTGAACATGTGTTACTAATGTAGTTTGTGCTTCATGGATTCTTATCCGTGAAAATAAATAAAAATGTGGAGATCGATGCTAAAGTGTCACCAGAATCAGTTCCAGGCAATCATGGATAAGATTAAGAGTCATGATGACGTTTTGGTGGGATTAGACTTTGTTTACCCTAAATCTAGTGGGAGGGTGGTGCACCTAAAGCACCCTACTCTCTATATACAAATAAATACCACATCTTTTTCGTCTTTCTTTTTATGGCAAAAGAGAAGACTGATTTCTCCACCCATAAAAAGGCAAGAGATAGTTGATAAGTTTATTAATGATACATACATAGAAAAGAGTTTATAGATAAACGACAATAGTGTGCACACAAAAAATAATAATAATAATCAACGACAATAGTAGTCATCTTTTACCAAATAAATATTAGAATATTATCATTTTGAAATGTTTTAGTTGAGGACTAAATATTATGGACAATACTCTAATCGGAAAACTAGGATAGCTATTCTTGCTATTTACTCCCATATACCTCTCCTACCTAATTTTCCTTAATCACTGAAAGTCATACACTGTATAAAAAACGATTAGTTAAGTTCAAAAGTTAGTCCACGTGTAAGAGATTTGGTTCTAATTTGACGCTTTCCAAGTCAGTGGTCAAGGTTTTTTCTTTAGTCCTACTACTATTTTGAAGTTACAATTCTTTGGAGAGATCGCTTTATTGTGGTTTATATACTATGTTTTGTTTCGTTTATGCATTTTTTCTTGTTAGTGTTGTTGTCGATGAACCTTGTTTAAATTATGTCGTCCGGACTTGATTGTAGTTTCTGTTTGTTGGTATAACGTCTACATATAACAAGAACTGGAAGGTTGTGAAAGCGTTTTGGATCAATGGTTCAGTTGTAGTTGTAGTAGTAAGGATTCATGTTCCTTTTCTATCGGTTTCAGTTTTATCTCGAAAATTTAGTTTGCTAGTTTATGTTTTCTTTGCTTGAACTATTGGCTCCATTGATTGGGTTTTTGATTCTGAATAAATCTTGTTTTTTTGTCGATTTATGGTTGTAATTCATATTTGTAATTCCAGTTTTTAATATAATCGAAACATATAACAAAAAAAAAAAATTCAGTACTTGGTCCCTGGGACATCCGATTAAAAAAAGTCAAAAGTTGTGTGGACATATTGTTAGCCAAAAGTATGAGATTTTATATCATTATTACTATGGTAAAACCATCTAAAACTTGTTTTTAGCATTTTGTTTAAACAACAAGAAATAACTTCATTATGTTCTTCTTGACTTATCATGATATCTACTTTCATCTACGACAAATTATGAGATTTACGTACAATGAATTTGCGTCTACACAGACTCCATGATGATCAAGTTTGAATAATTTCTAATGGTTATTACAGTTGCAAATCGAGTTGTTGTTATAATAAATAATAACTTATGATCATTATGGATAACATTAGACTATCTGGATAAATTTCATTTAATGACCCAAAGAAACTTTCTCAACTTTTTGAATTTGTTGCTGCTAAAGGCAAAACCATTTTTAGATTTTTGTTCAGATTCTTTAAAACTCACGTGATTTTGGGAATTTTTTTTTCTTTTTAAAAAAGGTGATTGAATACATAATGATCGTTGATTATTTGGTAACGAGTAGGACAGGCGGTAGTCGGTAGATGCCTCCCAACCATTTCTATTAGCCCCTCTAAATTTCTTATATTTGAAATGACTAATTAACGAAAAAGAACAATAATTCTAAATGACATCTAGTTGCTAAATAAACGATATATCTACAAATACACGTAAAATATGAGTACTCTCCTACCATAATATATTTATATAATTAAGAAAGTAAAAAAGGGTTCTAAGAAAAGAAAAAATAGAACTTGTTGGCTAATTGATGATTATTTCCCCTTTCTGCTCCATAGAATAGGAAGCTCTCGTCCACCTTCTCCAGCGAAACTCACCTGCTTCTGCACATGTTTAATTTAATTAATTTACATAAAATAATAATAATAAATGATTAGCGAAACAAACCGACAAAATATTATTTGATGATCGAGAGGATCTTCATCATTCGTATATGATATTTCATTTATCTTCTTTTTTTCGAGATATTATCTAATACTACTTGTAAACCTTTGTGAAAAACGTTGTGCTTAAAAAGAGATATATATATATATGAATTAATACCAAGTGTTACTCTAAGCATGTCCCTCAAAAATATAACAATTATATAAGACGTAAAGAATTTCAAGATATGTGAAACCATTTACGAGTCTTTTTGTCAATCCAATTATAAGTCCACTCCTGCCCCGATAAATGTTTGACTACTTAAAATTAATCTATTCATTAATATGTATCTATATATAAATTACGTACGTCATACTCACGTCACGTATGTAAATATGTAAGTTACATATACCCTAGTGGCCCAGTGGTTACAATAATAATTAGTATACCTTAATCAAATGCCAAAGCAATGCCGAAAAATTAAACTCTGTTTCTTGTCTTCTACATCAATTTAGAAATCCTACTTTAATAAAAATTACGATTTGCTTAAAATCCTGGATATAATACATTAGAGTACATTATTGCCAAAATATCCTCGCAAGGCACAGAGTGATAATTGACATTATATTAAAATTGTTTACTCCATTTCTTACTTGTTATGTCAATTTTCTACATTCGATTATATTGAAAGGTGTATAACTTAATTTTCGCAAAAACAAAGAGAAATATTCATAAATAAGTGGTATATTGTATCTCGCGAAAAATATGAAATAACATGATATTTTGCAAGTCCACTCGTGAAATTCATGCCATTTTGAAAGGGAAAAAGAAACACATGGAATATAATATGTCAACTCTCTTATTTAAGAAAACGCCATTGCATTATTTTTTGAATATCGAGTATCCTAAGCTCATTTAGGTTCTAAAAAGGGTTCTAGATTTCTGCTAGTGTGTTATCAAATATAATTCTTATGATATTTTCTAAAGACACATGTGAAATATATGCTATTTAAGAAAAACACCGATAAACCTAAACTATTTTTGACGAATATATCACTGTCATTTTTATAAATATTATAGTTCATTACTTAAATTGAAATGTCTACTTAAAATTTCAGGTTAAAGAACAACAAGTTAAGCTCTAACGCAATAAAATTACTTTTGACCAAAATTCAAAAGGTTAAAAACAAGAATTACCTCACGTGCCTTAATCCCCTCGACTCCAAGTGTCCGGCGACTGTCACCGCCGCCAATCTCGCCGGAGCTCTCCCTGTAGATACTCAAAATCTTCTCGGCGATCTCAGAAGCGTCGTGGCTCTCCTCCATGAGCCTCGTGATCTGAGATCGAGGTAACCTCAGCCTCACACTCGTCTGACCAGACCTATCTCCGCCGTCAGATCTGCCGATCGCCACGTCGGAAACAGTTCTCCGGGAAAGCATCAGCATTTCTAACCGCTCCTTCGCGCCGACGTGAATTCCGGACATCACTCTCCGGTACGGAAGCTTGTTATCTGTCTCCGGCGGAAGCTTAGGAAGCTCCACTAGAAAATACGTCTTCTTCGGCTTCAAGATCTGGCTCGGCTCAAGCGGCTTGGCGCGAACTCCGAAGTGTTTAACAGCTTCGGAGTCTAACAGAACGTAACCGGGATAATCCGCCGTAACCTCTCTCGCCGTCGCCGGAGTTTTTATTCGGAAAATCTCGCCGTCGATCTTCATGACTTTGGCTTTCTTTCTCTTTAAAGTTATGCTGTTTCCCATTTTCTCTCTGCTTTTTTTTATTTTTTGGTTATTTGATGGATAAATGTGAAATGTCATATAAAAGCGGTTGGGTTTATATATATATGTTGGGGAGGTTTAGTTGGAAATATTATTTTTGAAATTTAGTGTGTGTGTGAAGGTGTCAAATTTTACAGAGATTCCTTCGTAATGTTAATAAAAGTCTTAAACGTTGAAATCTTTATTAATAGTGTTTGAAAAGAATAAACTTTTAATAGGTCGGTCCATGCCAAATTGGGGCAAATACATTTCTTATAAAATTTATTTTATTACAACCTTTTCCCGAATTAGCTCAGATATGTAGATCTTAAATGACTGTAACTACTACATTGCTTCGTGGTACGTATTTTTCCAAGTTTTATGTTGTTTTATTTTTTTTTTTGAGAAAGAAGATTTTGTTGAA